GACAACTTGACTTTTATTTGATAGTGGTACCTCGATCGCCATGTTCAAATCATGGGTCCGACTCTGCATGGAATCTTAAAATCTCAGTAGCGCCAAAAAAATATTAGATAATTGTTTCTCATCTCCCTTAAATCTTAATAGGCAATTACATGATATTTATGCCGATGAAAAATAGCAAGTACCCGATAAAATAATGGAGATGCGTACCCTGATACCACCATCGTAAAGAAACTAAAAAGGATATAGTGTTTATTGCTACTAGTTCTATCTAACGAGCATAGGGAAATTGGAGGTAACATCTTTAGTGAGTTAACATTTTCTTTTTAGAAACAATATATATTTGTTCTATCTCTAAATTCATTTGCACAAAGTGAAATATAGGGAATAGTAAACTACTTCTATTAACTTTCTGAAAATTTTTACTATTTGATGAGTCACACAAACTTCTTCTTGTCCATAACTTTTTCATATGCTTTTGAATATTTCTAATTATAAAAAGTTTGTTTATAGAATTTTTATCTAGTTTGAAATTATGTCAATTACATTTTGAAAATTCAAAATATCAATGTTGAAAATAAGAGCAACTTTTCATTAACTATATGTACAACAAATAGAAAAAAAAACTCAGCTTAGCGAGCAGCGACTTATTAAAGATGATCCCCCAGGCAAATATGCGCCTTTAGCCTTTATGAAATATTATTAATTTATTAAATTATATTTAAACATAAATTTTACAAGGAAAAAAAAAAAGCTGAAGGTTTCAAATCACAAATTATGATGATTGAGTACTATTTTACAAGTCGACAAAACTCTCTTTGACTGATGAATCAAGAAAAGGTAACAATTGACTAGGTTTTTTCACATCAATCAGCCATTTTGTTTCGTATCCGTATGCTACTCCCGTATAATTATTTAATCACAGGATTCAAAATATAAATTTTATGGGCTCGAGTTCAAAATTCTAGTGCACTTTTTGATTTACTAGGTTCTAAATTCATCTTTTGTACTTTTTTTGTGGGTTGTTTAACTATACTTGTTTAAAGTGTTCAGAAAGGTGAAAAGCACAAAAAAACTCTAAGGTGCGTTGGGGTTTTAAGCGCAAATGGCAAAGAAAGTGTGGTATTTAATGAAGAAAGGCGCAAATAGAGAAAAAATAGAAATATGTATACGATGTCCAAAACTAATAATTATAGGCATGAAAAATAAATATGTGGACAAAAAATTTACAAATAATTACGATAAAGTGAAATATCAATAGAATTACCCTTATTTGCAACGAAAAGTATGACTTAGAGCTGGATGACGAAGCGCCTGCTAAGCGAGACAAAGCACTCAACATATTTAAAATGTTGCTTCAGGGTTTAAGCGCACCTTTAACAACACTGCTTTATTTAGTAGATTTTTTAACAAAAAAAAAAAAATTAGTGTCATCCCACAGATAGCGTCTACCTCGACTCAGAAAGGAAAAAGAGAAAGGCAATAACAAGCAAACTAATGTGACAACACACTAAGTTCGGTATTTTAACACATAAAGGGAATTGAGCTAAAGGTGCTGGATTTGAGTGAACCACATAGTTGTACACTACACCCGCCCCTGCTAATCTACTGACCCGCAGATTTCTTTGTTTGTTTAATTTTAATGCTATTGCTTGGTATCATCCTCTATATATCCATAATTTCTTAAAAGATCGATCTGTCTTAGTCCAAATTATGCTAGTAAGGAGCAATTTTTACTGCTGATGATTGCCTTTTTGTCTTATGTTGTACTTCTACCGTATTTTTGCTTTCACCGAGTTTCTGTTGGAAACAACTTCTCCAGGTAGGAGTATGGTGTGCGCATACACTTCCGACTGCATATACGCTACCTTTCCCAAACCCCAAGTGGGATTACACCGGAAATGTTGTTGTTGTTGTTGTAGGCGGTGTGAGATTCAAAGGTTCATGCCAAATTAGTTTTTAGAATAGGTAGTTTGTAATTGCAGTATAGTTCAAAACTCAAATATTTCTTCTCTGTTAATTTCACACCAAACAATACAACTGCTTTAATCTGAGAATAATGCTGTCCTAATCCTAGGACAGATGGTGAACTCAGTTACAACTTTTGGCACCATCTTGTCCCAGTCATCAATTAAAAAAAACCAACAAACAAACTCTAGGAGATCAAGAAAAGAACTAGCCCCATAGTGGGGAAACATCATTTAGAATGGCTAATTGATTTCTCTAGGGCTCTGAATTTTGTATTATGTTGTCCTTGTTGCAGTTGTTAACAGACAGGCAAATCTACTGGAGGAGCCTCCAATGATTCCAATTGAGTAACTCCATTTTCGACGATGAACGCCATTGCCAAACCCCAGCCAATGTGAACATCCAGGTGACAATGCATTAGCCAAACTCCTGTTTAAAAGATAATATTGTAAGTCGAATTCAGGGGACGGAGCTAGGTAGGCGGAAGGGGGCTCAGCCAAACCCCCTTCCCCGAAAATTACACTGTATATATAAGGTTTTTTTTTTTTCATGTATATATATTAGATGTTGAATCCCCTTAGATTAATCGCGTGTTTTTTTTTAAAATTTTTTGAATCCCCTTAGTGAAAATCCTACTTCCGTCACTGGTTCGAATTGTAAACATTGTATAGACAAGAGTTTGAAATGTTAGAGAAATGAGTATGTAGTTGTTTCCCTTTATATTCTATTACCTGGATTGTCTGCGACAAATCTGATGACCGCCCATCCTTTGACGGGTACACTGGCCGTGTTTCTGAGAGGTGGATCAACAAGGTTGAATTTAGCTGTATCTGTTTTTGGATTAAAGTTACCAAAACCCTCTGCAATGATGTAAAAATCATATCCGTGAAGATGAATTGGATGGTTTTCAGCAGTGAAGATACTTGTCCCCTGTAACACAACTTGCACTCTTGCCCCATATTTCAACTTGTATAGTTTCGTTCCTCGAGTAGGTTGC